TTGTCATTCTTTAACACCCCACCTCACGCCCAGTGCTTAGCATCTGGTGCGTGGGCAATTTTAATTTTGGGGACCCCAACATCGGGCAAGACGGGCTCTGCTCTGATACCATGTGAAATTAGGTCTTAGGCATAACTCACACCCCAAAAGCTAGCTCAAAGGGAGGAGGATTGCCCAAGCCTTATAAGGAGTTTACCCATCTCATTAACCACCGATGTGGGACTTTTTGTCATTCTTTAACAATATCATTATTACAGGAAATGATCCAAAGAATATTACTAAGTTGAAAGAATTCTTGCATACCTCATTTAAGTTGAAGGACTTGGGACGATTGACATACTTTCTTAGACTTGAGGTTTTATACTTGCCTACTGGGATCATGCTTACACAACAAAAGTATGCTCATGATCTTGTTGCAAGAGCTGGTCTTACTGATGACGAGGTTGTGTACAACCCAATGGAGATTAATACAAAGTACAAGGAGGTTAATGGAGAACCATTCAATGATCCAACATAGTATCGGCAGTTGGTGGGATGCTTAGTTTATGTCACTATGACAAGGCCAGAAGTCAAGTTCTAAGTCAATTTGTGGTTAATCGTTTCCGTATACATCACACTGCATTACTTCGTCTCATTCGATATGTTTGTGGTTCTATGAGTCAAGGTGTTCTTTTCTGTTCTGATTCTTCTATACATCTTGAAGGATATACTGATGCAGATTGGGTTGGTTGTCTTTATTCTCGTCACTCAGTTACTGTTGGTGTATGTTTCTTGGCACATTCTTGATATCTTAGAAATGTAAGAAATAATCCCGTACATCTAAATAATCTACAGACACTGAGTATCGTGCTATGTCAGCAGCAAGTTCAGAAATTGTTTGGCTATGACATCTATTATTTGAGCTTGGTGTCACTATTAGATCTCCTATAGTGCTACATGTTGTTGATGACACTAGTGCCATTAAAACCGCCACAAACCCAGTGCAACATGAAAACACAGAGCATCTAAGGTAGACTCCATTACATTCGAGAATTGGTTATTGATCGTCTCATCAATCTACAACACATTCCAACTTGCTGATTTGTTTACAAAGGTGATGACATGAGCACGACATCAATATCTTATCACCAAATTGCTACTTTGTGATCACCGGTATCGATTTGAGGGGGATGTTAGGAAAAACTATAATTGTATAGTAATCAGAAAATATATTCTTTCTTAGAATAGGACTGATTTACAGAATATATATTTATAACCATATATACTCCTTCTTAGAATAGAACTTTGACCCTACAATTGTATAGCTATAAATATGTGTTTGCTACTGTATCATCAATATATTGAGAATACTATTTTTCAAAATACCTTTCGTTTTTCAAGCAGTCAATACCTCTTTTACTTGTCGAGTTGGATCAGTACGATACTTAAAACCTTCCACAAAAATTCAAACAAAAAAAGTATTTGCTTATAAAAAATTTAAACCCCCTTTAGAATATTCTGAGTTACATTACTGATCAAATGTCACTAATTATGACGTTTACTTTGTCACTAATCACACCATGTCAATCTAAAATTATAATATTTCAATAAATAATCTAAATATAGAGACAATTATTTATGACATGCAATTTTTTGCTATATGTGATAATTTTCTTTCTTAAAAAATCTCAAAAACCAGATTTACTTTAGATCATTCTTGTTTATTCATGACTTGCAAAAATTGTTGTTTTACCTATAACTCTTGTCATGTATCATCTATATTAATCAAAAAGTCAAGGTGATCATTTTGATTTTCAGTTTTTGTAGAGTGTGTCTTCTCTTTTATAATATATCGTGGTAACTTGTTTGATCTACTCCTTTCTTACTCTTTGTGTTCCTTTTTATATGAAGATGTTACTGTTTGGAGTGTCAAATAATTTACTAATCATAATATTCTTAAAATTTTATATTTTGAACCATTAGTTGTTTTATCGACTTATAATATTTTCTATGTACTCTTTAAGTATATACATTTTATTCTAATCCTTTTTTTTTTGAAGAATATATGCCGTATTAAAAATCAAAACTAAGTGTAATGACCCTCATACTCTTTCCTTTCACACAAATTGGACATAAGGAGTGTTTATTTTTCCAAAATTGGAACACCCTTCACAAAGTTCTTGCTACGTCAGTATAATTATTCTATAGATAATTTAGATGCAGATAAAGTAATTTCAGACTGGTCATTTTTTCTTATTTTATATAATGTTCAACCTTGGTTAGATGCAATATTTTCTTTCTTAAAATCTCAAACAACCAACATTGTTCTTCTAATTATTCTCGTTTGTTCATTCACTAATAACAACTATATTTTACTTGATTTTTAAGTATTATGGAACGATTTTATCTTTTGGAATATATCATGGTAATTTTTTAACTCGAATTGTCTTCGTTAATTCCATCACTTAAGAGATATTTTTGAGAAACCATGACAAAAATTTTAATCTTCTAAATATTTTGTATACATGATCAATTTCATTATTTTTTTGGTTAATGACTTTCATTTCTAAATAAACGTATACATCATGAAAATAAAATCTTATTTGTATGATTTTAATCCAACTTTATAGTCATCTGATATTGCTCAGCTACAATTCTCTTTTATCTTGTTAGGATCCCTCTTCTTTTCAATTAATTTCCTCTTTTCCTTTGTGAAATGACAATAATTAGTAGTTAAAGATGTTTGATCGATAATTCGAGAATAGTTTTACTTTATTCTTTTATTATATTTTGTATAAATGATTTTTGTTTTTTTTTCCTTGTTATATTTTTATCTTCATTTGTTTATGCAATCTTCCAAGCGATCACGAGAAAAGAAAAGGATTAGGATGCAAGGGTGTAAACACACTATTTCTACAAGTGAACCACTAATAGATGTTGCAAGCATCATTGTAAGATTTTTTATGAGCTATTTTTTTTTCTCTTGTTCTATGTTAACTTTGTATCGTTTTTAGCTTTGAAGAGGTTCTTAAAAGGTTGAGACTATGGACCTAAAGTGCAACTTCTTGATCATAAATATAGATGAAGTATAGAGACTCATCAAAAATCTTACAATCATGTTAGCAACATCCCTTAGCGGTTTACTTAAAGCAACAATTGTGCTAGCACCATTGCCTTCAAACCACTTTACTTTTCCTTTGGAAGAGTGTATCAGCAACTGAAGATAAGTATAAGAAAAATAAATAATAATTTATATAAAGATTAAAAGAAAAAAACTAAAAATATCCCCAAATTATAGATCAAACATTTCTACATTATTTTTATTTCACAAAGAAAAAGGCAATTAAATGAATAGAATAGGGAGCTTTACAAGATAAAGACAACTAGAATTCAAAAATATATCAGGAGTAAAGTTAGATTGAAATCAAACAAATAAAATTGTTTCATGATACACATTTATTAAGAAGTATATGTCATTCACAAAAAAATAAATTTATCATGTATCCTATAAATATTTATTAAAAGATTAAAAATTTTGCCATGATTTCTCAAAAATGTCTAATGAGTGATGGAATTAAAGAAAACAATCAAGTGAATAAATTACGATGATGTATTGCAAAGGACAAAGTTGCTCCATAAAAACATAGAATCGATTCCCCCCCCCCCCCTTAAAAAGGTCTTGGATTGTGAATTATATATATAGAGGATATATCACCTGACTTAAATCGAAAAAAATCAAGTTAAAAAAGTTGTTATAAGTCAATGAACAAAATGAGAATAAACCGAAGAAGGAAAGTTGGTTGTTTGAGATTTTGAAGAAAGAAAATATTACATTTTGCCACAATTGAACATTATGTAAAATACCTAAAAAAGAGACTAGTCTTAAATTACTTTCTCCACATATAAATTTTGTGAATGGTATTCTATCTTTGGAAAACAAGACTCTCCTTATGTCCTAATTGGTGTAAAAGGATCAGAGTATGAGGGTCATAACACTGAATTTTGATTTTTAATACAATATTTATTCCTCAAACAAATTAAAATAATATGTATATATTTAAAAACAACACAAAAATTACTATATGGAGACATAATAATTAATGGTGCAAAATATATACATTTGAGAAATTATGATTAGTAAGTTATTTGACACTCTAAATTGTAATATATCCTCATATAAAAAGGAACATAACTAGTAAGAAGAGAGTTAATCAAACAATTTACCATGATATATCATAAAAGAGAGAATCACTTTGCAAATACTTAAAAATTAAAATTATGAAAACATGTATCGACTTGTTGATTTATATAGAGGATACATGACAATTCCCGTTCCCAACCCATGACCAATATGAGCTAAAAAGAATAATTACAGCAAGTCAACTAATAGAAAAGAATGATCTAAAGAAATAAATTTGATTGTTAGTAATGTAATTAATAACGTAATTCAAAATACTCTAAAGGATGTTCAAACTTAAGATAAGCAATATTTTTTTTTAAAGATCTTGGTTAAGTCACTGATTACATCATATCTTCATCTAGCCAACATTCTTCTTTTTCTTTGCAAATTTAAAAAATTAGAATCAAGCTCCAATGGTGTTTAATGTTGTTTTCATGTCTTTATATTCAAAACTTATATGCATGACTAGATGAACTTTGATAACCCTTCTTCAGTAAATACCTCCCATAGTTAATTATTTCCAAAAAAAAGAAAAAAAGCTTGAGAAATCCAAATGAGAATATTCTCAATGCAATGTCTAAAAACTCGGATTATCCATTTACTTGATAATTGATGCATAAATTACTTAATATTCATGTATACATACTTTCAAGGATCTATGAATCATAGAATGTATGTATTAAGTTAGGCATTTAGTATGGTCCCTTTTGAAGTGGTTTGTCAGTAGAAATAGGTTTGTCCATCATTGTGAGATATACTTGAAGATATTTAAATATGATGATCTCTAGCTCTCTATATCTCTTGTCTATATATTGCTTGTTAAGTATTGTTTATATTTTACAATACTTTAAAAGCACAAAGTTTTAACCAATTTATCTTCTCTTAGTTCAGAACAAGGTTGAGCATCTATTTTTTTCTTTTACAACTCTGTTTTGTTGAGGAGTTCTAGGAGCGAAGAAACTGTGATATATTTCATGTTATGCACAATATTTTAAAATTTTAATATTTTTTAAATTTTGTGTCATGGTCAAATCAAATACTTATAACTTTAGACTTTTTTTGGTCTAGTTTCACAAAGATAAGTAAAAATTTCAGAATTCTCCTCTTTTGAACTGAAAAATATGGTCCAACTGAATTATTTGGTGTAATCATTAGCACTAATGAAAACATACCACTTATGTCCTTTGACGAGAACCCTCATGGGTCCACATAGGTCCATCTGTAGTAGTTCTAGGGATTTTGATGCACTAACCTTCTTCGGTTTGAAAGAAGATGTGTACCAAAAAGGTATCTTTGGGAATATTGTTGATGGTAGCGAAATTCACCTTTGGGACGACAACTAGGTAGAAGCCTCTCACTCACTTTGGTAAATAATGCATAGTCCTATTCATGAATCGGAAACAAACCTCTTAGTAAACTACCTCCTTAGAAATGATTTTTGCAGTCTCTCGCATCTATCTTTTGACAACACCCTTGATGTCGAAGCTTCCATCATTACTACCTACACCCAAGAATCATCTCACAAAATAAATACTTCTTTTTTGAACCAAACTGTAAATGGAAAGTTCATACTAAAAATGTGTATGAGTTGTATACCTCAATCAATCCAAGGTGCCAACATCTATAATGGCTCCAATAATTGTTTGGAATTTATGGAAAAATAGGAATAGTAAACAATATCAAAACAAGAATATTTCCTTTCAAGCCATTGAATGCTACCACTTGTCTTAATCCCACCAAAAAAATCTCACATATAACATCAGTGTGCACAAACTATATCGTTTAGATCAATTCCTCTTTTTTATGGATAAAACCTTTCTAAATTAAACAAATAAAACACCTTTGTTTCTAAGCCAAAAAAAACAAGACTAGTAGGCCTTATAACATAGGTGTTAGGAGTCTCACATTTAGAAATAAGGATTAAAGAAGTATGAGAAAATAATTTAGTCATATTACCTCCTTTGAAGAAGTATTGCACAAAATTAATAGGATCGTGCTTGATAATCCACCAACATGTATGATTAAAAAAATATCATTGAATCCATCTAGTCCTACAGCACCATCTGGAGACATCAAAAACATTATTTTTAAATTAGTTAATTATAGATCTATATCCAAAAATTTCCAATTTGCATCTTTGATTTTATGTTCAAATGACAAATCTAGGGTTATATTCATGAAATAGATGCATATTCAATTTATAATCACTTACCTTAACCTTGTAGGTGACAAATCTAGGGTTTTATACTCAATCCTAACAGAAGAGTAACTGATGTACATTTTTCCTATTCCCAGTCGCATTGATTTGTAAAACCCTAATTTTCTTCATCACCTTTTGTTATTTCAATATGAACAACCTCTACACCAAAGAATGAAAAAATGTTAAAATGCTTCAAATGGTCTTAAATGTATAAAGAAAACTTTAAGTTTTTTAACGAGTCAACAATAATTATATGGGACTAATCATTTGGTCAAATTACCCTTTTGATCACCAATATTATACAAAATAATGGGGAGAAAATAGTCAAATGACCTTATGATCTATTAAAGTATTTTCGACTACATATAGAGATCCTATTAACCCCTTAGACTATTATTTAAAAATGAAATTAATTCCACTCTGAATAAAATATCATCATTAATCATGTGTCTTGTGGTGAAATATACATATTTGAAACATATATTCGCTAGGTAATATTGTATATTTATTTTTAAAAACAGAACATTTTTCTCCTTCTTCCTCAACCTTTCTTCCTCAATTATTATTTTTTCGAACTTAACCACGTTAAAACATCATTTTTTACCTCAATATATGTCACGAATCAAGGGTATCCCCTACATGTGACATGACACCTAAAGTCCTAAGAAATCCTAAGTTAACCACATGATGTAGGATGATACTAAGATAACATACATAACTCAAGTGACAAGGATTCAGGAAGTAGTACGGAAGCCTATACATTTTTGCATATATTTTGGACATTTAGGAGTCGTTTACAGGAAACTGAAGATTTTCTTAATTTTTCACGCATGTTAGCCCATTATTATTTTGATGATAAGACTTTCAGATGAATTTTGGCAAAACCTTAATGAAACCCTTTGAAGAGAGTTTGGGGAGAAGTGTGTGAACCCTCTCATTTTTGTACATATTTTTGGCATTTAGGAGCATTTTACAAGAATTAAGTAATTTTTCCAGCTTTTCGTGTGGGGTATCCCATGAATATTTTGGTGATATGGACTTCAGATGATTTTTTTTGGCAAAATCTTTATGGAACCCTCTTTAGGGAGTTAGGGGAGCAGCATGAAGCCTCGCCATTTTTTGCACATATTTTGGACATTTTAGGAGCCATTTTACAAGAAGTGGGTGATGTTCTCCATTTTTCAGTATGTTAGCCAATGAATATTTGATGATATGACTTCTGAATGATTTCTTTGCAAAATATTTCTAGAACCCTCCGTAGGGAGTTGTGAGAGCAATATGTGTCTCACTAGTTTTACACAAATTTTGGCTATTTAGAAGCCATTTTTATAGAAATAAGCAATTTTCACAGTTTTTACGCGTATTAGACCATGAATATATATTTTGGTGATGTCTCCCAATTGATTTTTTAATTTTGCGAAACCTTTATGAAAACCTTCGTAGGGAATTGGGTGAACAATATGTGAAACCTCACCATTTTTTCCACATATATTGGGCATTTAGGAGAGTTTTTACTAAGAATTAAGTGATTTTGTCATTTTTTTCGTATGTGCTAGGCCATGAATCTTTTGGTAATATGGTTATCATATGATTTTTTTGCAAAAGCTTTACGAAAATCCTCCACAGGGGAGTTAGGGGAATAACACATGAAGCCTCACCCTTTTTAACATATTTTGGACATTTTAGTATCCATTTTACATGAACTAGATTATTTTCTCAGTTTTCGTTCTATTATCCTATGAATATTTTGATGAAATGACTTCTGGACGATTTCTTTGCGAAATATTTCCAGAAGCCTCCTTAGGGAGTTGTGGAGCAATATGTGTCTCACAATTTTTTATAAATATTTCTGGCATTTAGGAGCCATTTTATTGAAACTATGTGATTCTCACTATTTTCGGTATGTATTAGACCATGAATATTTAGGTGATATGTCTTCTGAATGATTTTATTTTTGCAAAACCTTTACAGAAAAACCTTTGCGAAATCTTCAGAGGGAGTTGAGGGAACAATAAGTGAAGTGTCACAATTTTTTTTACATATATTGGGCATTTAGCAGCATTTTACAAGAATTAAGTGATTTCGTCCTTTTTTTGTGTGTGCTAGGCCATGTATATTTTGGTGATATGAATTTTAAATTTGTTTATGTAAAAGCTTTCAAAACCCTTCGTAGGGAGTCAAGGGAGTAGCATATGAATCCTAACCATTTTCTACACATATTTTGGACATTTTAGGAGTCATTTTACAAGAACTGGGTGATTTTCTCAGTTTTTCAGTATGTTAGTCTATGAATATTTTTATAGTATGACTTTAGTCTATGAATATTTTGATAATATGACTTCTAGATGATTTCTTTGCTAAATATTTCCAGAACCCTCTGTAGGGAGTCGCGAGAGAAATGTGTGTCTCACCATTTTTTACAATATATCTAGCATTTAGAAGCCATTTTACAGGATTTAGGCGATTTTCACAGTTTTTCTTGAGCATTGATTCATGGATATTTTTGTGATATATTTTTTATTTTTCAAAACTTTTACTGAGACCTTCATAGGGAGTTGACAGAACAGTATGTCAAACCTCGCCATTGTTTGCACATGTATTGGGCATTTAGGATAATTTTATAAGAAATAAGTGATCTTGTAAGTTTTTATGTATGCTAGTCCATGCATATTTTGGTGATATGAATTTCAGATGATTTTTTTTTCAAAAGCTTTACGGAACCCTCCGTAGGGAGTTAGGGGAAAAGCATGTGAAGCCTAACCATTTTTTGAACATATTTTGGACATTTTAGGAGCCATTGTACAAGAACTAGATGATTTTCTTTTTTTCTGGATCTGTCATCCAATGAATATTTTGATGATTTGACTTTTGGACGATTTCTTTGCAAAACATTTCCAGACCCCAACGTAGGGTGTTGTGGGAGCAGTATGTGTCTCACTATTTTTTCACATATTTTGAGCATTTAGGAGCCATTTAGCTGCCCTTTGACCTCTTCCATCGTCTTTTTGCCTTGACATTTAGCATTCTCAAGGTCTGTAACTTTGGGCGATCTCCTTTTGCTTCGCGGAACTACTCAGGGATTCGTCGACTGCGTTGCTTACTTGGTTTATTCCCTCAAAATGACAGACTGGAACTTTAGGCGGTCAAGCTATAGCCACTCAGCAATTCACCAAATGCTCTTGGCGATCATCAAGCTTTCCTTTCTTCGATTCTTTAGCTTGTTTTGTTCTTTTTTGCCTGTTAGTATCCTTGTTTTATTCCTCAAAATCCATACACCTTAAAATCAAGGATTTAGCATCACTTATGGCACAAAATAAGCATTTGAGGAAACTAAACCTACGTAAACAAATCCCCAAATGAATCCAAATCTTAGACGCATCATGCCCCAACTTCCCTCCTGTAGTTCAGGGTCTTGTTCCCTGCGCCAAGGTTGCCAGTTTCATTACCCTTTACCATCTTTCTAGATGAATTTCCCTTGAATCATACCTATGTCTTCTAATTTATTTCTACACTCTAAGGTATGTCTAATGCATATTAAACCGTTAAGTTAAAGGTCGTGCGCCAAGTGGGAGAATGTAAATTTCTATGGCCCACCAATTATATTTTAGTTTAATAATTAATACAAGTTAAATCCTATATGTGGAGAAGTGGGTGGGAAAGTGGAGAAGTTACTTAGTAACTGTCAACTACCCATTAAGTCTTCCGCTACCCCTTACCTCTTCTAACTATTCATTAAGTGGGGAGTTACTTGGTAGTTTTAAAACTACCCATTATCTTCACTACTCCCCATCATGGAAAAGTGTGAATGATGTATAAAAGAATACTCTTATTTAAAGGGTTCTCTCTGCCATAATGACATACTCTTATCCATCAAAACTATTCATAAAGTATAAGGCTAGAGAGTGAAACAACTTTTGAAGAATGAAAAGAAAGAAAAAACTTCTGCTCAATTCAAGTCAAGATTCCTTAAAAATCACTATGCCTGATTCGAGTATGTATTTTTAGCTGAATTATCATAGTAATAGATTTATGAAAAAATCATATAGTTCTACGATCATAGATAATTGATAGAATTTATGAATGCATAGATTGTTTATGTTTTCACAATCATTAAAAATCCTAACATCTCATACTTTGTTTGACCATTAATTAAACTCAATTAGGTACACTTCACTATGTTTTTTCCATCAATCATGAGCATGTTGGTGTTATATAAGATGTTAGTGCATGAGAAGTGGAATGAAAATCTTATGTCTGATGTTTTTCCTCACGAGGTTTATGATGAGGTGCGTTTAATCTTAAGATATCTTCCAGTTTCAGAAAATAGTGATAAACCTAATACATTTGGAAACATCATCAGACAAAGAAAGGATGAGCAGGAGGATATCATGAACATTTGAGAGAAATGAATCCCTTTTAGAGTTTCATATTCCTTTGATGGAGAATTTGGTTTTAGAGAGTACCTATTGGGGAAGTTTTGTGAGGAGCAGAATTGGAAACTCTGTTAAATGTTATTTTTGTTCTGACAATGTACAAGAAACATTCAATCATTTATTTATTTCTTTTGTTGATTTTATTTGCCAATGCAATATGTTTGCGAGCAGTGAGGATTCATGGTCAATTTATGCATTTGAAACAAACAAATGAGTATATGGCATATACAAAAGGTCCACACCTCAACCAATAATTATTAGTACTAACTAACAAAAGAAAGCATATACAAAAATCTCTCTCTAAATAAAACTCTTTAAAAAATCATACCATAAATGTTGTTATGTTATGTATAAGAAAAAAAAATCTTCTATTTATAAAATTCCAAAACTTCTCATCAACAAGAAAAAGAATTAGTCAAATATGAAAAAGATCTTTTCCATAAAAATAAAGAGTTTCACCAAGAAAGATATCAGGCTTTTGTTGCTTTCTAGTGAAAGAAGAGAATATAGAATTGATTTAAGGGTATGCACATTTTGTATGATAAGAGTCAAACTAACTTGACTTCAAAAATGTGAACTCAATTCCTTGTATTCACGAAGCATAAGAAATTTTGTAGGACAAAGCTTTATATATAACATGTGGTTTATCTGTTTTTTACTTGACACAAAATTTAAAAAGATAAAGAAGATTTTCAAATTTTATGATAATATGTGAAATATATTAA